AAAAATACCATACAAGTCTGCCAGGAGACAGAGCTACATTTGTTTATGTGTGTGGATGTGTATGTGAGAGCTTCTTTAAATATTTGTGGTGTGCTCTGAGATGACCCACGCATTTCCTTCACATGTGACACGGGCACTAGTCGTGATGTTCTCCTGCTCTTGTATGCACTAATAACACAAGGGATAGTGCAGTTCATGGGAAAAATTGGTGTGGAGGAGTCATGGATGTCTTTGGTAAGTTATTCTGCCAGATTGTAGCCAAAATTATTTTCAAATTAGTGTGGGGGAGGGGGAGGGAGCTGCCTTTCTTAGTAAGATGAGGAATAACACAAATCCTAAATATCTTTTGAGAATTAATAAAATACATTCCTAATAGATAACTTACAAACATATAACTACTAAGTTTACTTGCATTTAGAATTCCAGCCCTTTTTATGATTGTGATATAATGAGATAATTTATGCAAATTTGCTTATAGTTCATATAGTAAGTGTTCAATAAATGTTAGCTTCTGTTTTGGATTGTGATGATATTTTATTGTCAACAATAAAGTTATTGGCAGTAATAAAAATTGTAGTGGTATTGTACAGCAGCCCCATTTACAGTTTAAATTGCATCAGATATTTCTTGACTTCCAGGATTTTAATTGCAATCTAATGCAGTTGCAAGGATTTGGTTATGACTGCTTAATCTCTCTTTTTTAAAAAAAGCTAATTAAGCATCACTAATTTCTAGATTCAAAACCTCTATAGTGATCTCTCTATGGTTTTCTGTGATGCCAAGTGTTACTGTTTAAATGTGCTGGGATTTCCATGGACTCTGAATTTTGAGAGCCAAATACATGTGGAGGCTGAATTGTGGCTATTGCCCTTGAGAATTTCGATAGTCCTATTGTCCCATGAGCATCAGTCTGCCTGAGATGCCCTCTATTACTCTTACTTTTCTTTGGGTTAAATCAGTCCTCTTTTTTTCTGAAGCATCCCTAACATCAGAGGAGAGAAACCACAAATTGCCACGAGATCACTAGAATATCCAAACATCAGCAGCAGCTTGACATTTCTTTCAAGTTGAGTGTTCAGTGATCAAATTGTACATTAATTTTACATTTCAGGCCATAACAATCCCAGATTTATTTGAGTATCTAATAATATTCAGTTTATATAATTCCAAGCAAAGTTCTCTTCTCTCCTTTTTCCTCCCCTCCCAAGACCTGTGTTTGAGGAAATATTTTGAGCATATTTCTTTAGAAATGCCTGTGACAATACTCCTTAAATACATACTACACACGAATACCTTCAAATTGATTAGCTGATCTGAATACCTAATACATGTTGTGGGAAATGATACACAGGACAACGACGTTTTGACAGAGGAGATACTGTATAAGCTGGCTAGTTAGAAGTTTGAGAGGGCGTGTAACAGAATAAAGAGAGGGATGCTAGTTGGCCAGGGGAAATTGCTGCACATATAAAGGGAAAAAGCACTAAAAAGGAATGCCAAGTTGGGGGTTGTTAACAATAAACTTCACTCTTTAATACAATAGTATAAGTCTTTTCTGGTCCTGATATCCTAATAGGGAGGACTCCAGGAGCCGCAGAACAGAAAGGTGACCTTTATTCCCCCTTTTTAAAATAATAGGGGACAAAATTTTTATGTAAATATTTAAATGTAAAATCTTTATAACTTGGACTTTCACTTTGTCTTCTTCTGTTAGTTAACAATTAAATTTATCTTTCTATTTTTTTCTTCTTGTATCATTCAGCCAGGATGTGTCGTCTCCTGGTTTTTAGGAGATGATGTAGTTGTGTTTTCGTGCACTGGCAGAAACTGTTTTCTACAATTGGCCATTGTTTTCTAGAGAGACTGACTTCTGTGTACCAGAACTGGCACAGTCTGGCATTTAGGCCTGGATGCCACCTCTCAGAACTGATGAAATGCCATTCTGGCTGATTAATTAGATACGTTTCACAACCTGTTGCAGGATAAGGGATGTGAGAGCATTCTGCATTAGTAGCTTGAGAATTTTGAGATTTTTCTCCTTCTCTTACAATTAGGAAAGATGCCAATTTTGCTTTTGTTATAATTTTAAAATGCTTTGTGAAAATTTCAAAACTAAAAGGAAAATGATGTCTTAAAAGTAACACTGAAAATGAGTCTGGATATGATCTCTTCATTAATACAGTTTGGTTTTTAAAGGAATCTTTCAATTTGTAAATCCAGTAGCAATACACATATCTCTGTGAAACAGACTCTTGCAGGTGCATTTAAAAATGTTTTTGATGTTTATTTTTGAGGCGGGGGGTTGCAGAGAGAGAAGGAGGCACAGAATCTGAAGCAGGCTGAGCTGTCAGCACAGAGCCTGATGCGGGGCTCGAACCCACAAACAGTGAGATCATGACTTGAGCTGAAGTCTGATGTCCAACTGACTGAGCCACCCAGCCGTCCCATTGCAGGTGCATTTTAAGCAAATTAGTCAAATTTATCTGTTAACATATGTACAGTACCAGGGTATTCATTATAGTAGTAGACTGCGATATTCGCTCTTTCGTATCACCTTATAGCATAGTTTACTTGTGATTATTTCAATTACAAACAGTTTTTCAACATATTTTCTTTAATCTTTAAAACTGTGAGGAAGGCAGAAGGATATTTTCTTGTTTATAGAAGAGAAAATAGCCCAAGGAGAAATTGTTGGAGCTGAAAGCAAAACTAAGATAATCTGACTTGTGTCCCTGTCAGCGTGTCCTTGGTATACCTGATCTTCCTGACTCCAACTGTCTCTTCTGAGTTCTGTCAGACTTGCCACGTGAGCAGTGATTCTCTTTATATCTGTGTTGTTTTCGTGGGTAACAATAAATAGGAGGCTTTCATGTGCTTTGTAGAGTGTGCAATTTTCCTTGAAGAGATGTCATATCATGTAGTGCTTGAGACTGCAGACTTTGGAGGGGCGCCTGGGTGGCTCAGTTGGTTTAGCACCCAACTTCAGCTCAGGTCATGATCTCACAGTTCATAGGTTCAAGCCCTGCGTCGGACTCTGTGCTGACAACTCAGAGCCTGGAGCCTGCTTCAGATTCTGTGTCTCCCTCTCTCTGTGCCCCTCCCCCACTCACACTTTCTCTCTCAAAAATAAATTAAAAAATAAAAAAAAAGACTCTAGAGCCCACTGCTGGGCTGTATTTGAACCCCAGCTCTACCACTTAGCAGCTGCATGATGCTGGGAAAGGTGACTGCTCTGGGCCTCAGTGTTTTTTCATCAATAAACCGAGAATAAGAAAAGTGCCTATGTTCTTGGGGATGTTGTGACAGTTGAATGAATGAACATATGTAAAGCATAAAAAAGAGTGCCAGCACAGAGTAAGCACTTCACACATTATTATGATTACTTAAGAATTGCATTTTTTGGAGTGGACGTGACTTTATTTTGCAGTGTCCAGAGGGGACTCATTATGTCTACATTAAACAGAACCGACTTCCCAAATTCTGCTTGTGTAGTGAATATTTTTCCCTTAGAAAATCCATCTCTATCTGACAGAGTGTTCATTTTCTTGCCTTGGGTCTTAGTCTAAAGTATAAATATGGTGTGTGGAATAGGGCACTGAACCAAGGTACGAGACCGGGACTTTAGTCCCAGCTCATTTACCAGCTGTGACCTTGGGTCAGTCACTAAACCTCCTCAGGCTCAGCCTCTTTTCTCCTCAGAAGAAGGCTAGACTATAAGACTTCCGAGTCCACTTATCAAATCCCTTTCTGTGATTGAGGTGATCGGGGCAAGTCCACTTTAACAAAAATATTAGGCAAAGCCCTCCTTATGCATCCCATTTAGTTAAATCCTGTTATTAGAAGGATTTAGCTATTATTACATAGGTAGTATTGGGAAGTGCCTGTGTAGATTTTGGGGAATGAAATATTCTAAGGCGTTTTTAACACAAGTTTCCTGAAAATGCCTAAGGAAAAACCATTCATCAAATTAAGCAGCGTATCATGGAGCACCTTGGATAAAATAGGTGACGTATCCTTTGGTCGAGTCTCTGCTTTGTGGCGCAATCAGTGTAAACTCTGCTTCTTCCCACATTGTCCTTTGCAGTTCAGGGTCACCTTACCAGGCACTGCAGTGAGAATGGAGAGGAGAAAGAGAAAGGACTCTTTTGTCTGTGCACCGGGGGGAAAGGTGCCGGCTTCCCCACACTTGCTCCTTCAGGCTTCTGAGCCAGCATCAGCTTATAATTCGATCATTATAATGAAGAACTAAAATGAGAAATAAAAATAAGGAGAGACAGTCTTTCTTGAGCAGTGATGTAACTGACAGCTGATGATTTCCCGTGATCCTCCTTTACTTTTTGTTTTGAAGGACATGCTGAACCTCTGGAGCCTTTTTTCTCCATCAGCCAGATGGGAACACTGTCCTTAAGGACAATGTGGGTAAAGACAGAAGGAATGTGGGTAACTAATAACTTATTAAAAGACAGATTGCAAGGATAACCCAATATATAAACCTCAGCTCGCCAAGCATGGTGGTGTGTGATTTACGTCACAGAAGATGTTTGGGTTTGTAAACTCTTGTACACTGAGGGGCAACTTTCAGTTCTTTGAGGAAGAGCTTCCTTCCTTGATTTCTCCCAAGCCTAGGAATGCTGGGCCTGGGTGGGACAGGGGTTGCAGCAGTGTGCAAAGTCGCAGACCATGGTGAGGGAAGGGTGGATTGTCCTCAGTAATTCAGAGGAGCCCCCCCACCCTCGCCCTGAGGTTGCTCCTCAGGAATCTCAAGGGGGTGCTGTCAACCACAGAGCTGATCAGGATCAGGTTGAGGTCCTTGGCTTAAAGAGCAAAGACCCTCAACAGTGCTAGAAAAGAACCTGGGGATAATGCCTTGAAAAAGTGAGCTCTCAGGGTCTGGGTCTGTTTCCTCACTGAGTAATAGCACTAACATATAGAGTGATATCACTCAGGATATGCCTGGTGCATAACTTTCTTCTTTGGTGTATATTTCTACTTGTTTGCAGGGCCAAGGAGATCTGTTGAAGAATGCCAAGAATGAAGCTGTAGAAAACATGAAGCAGATCCAGCTGGCGTGCTTGTCTTGTGGACTTAGTAAGGCACCTAGCAGTTGTGCCGAGGCCAAGAGCAAACGCAGCCTGGAAGCCATAGAGGAGAAGGAAAGTGGCGAGGAGAACGGGAAGCTGTGACCCTGAGCAGTACCGACACACTCGCCCATCCTTCCTCTTGAGGAAGCTGGTTTTTCTTTCTGGTTTTCTTTCTGTAAGCTTTATAGAAATTCACAAAAAGGTACCCTCTATAGGGTGTTGGACATAGACAGATATTTTCACAATGTCAGTATTTTAATGTAGTTAATTTATCTAAGTTAAAAGCTTTAGTAGCAGTGTTTAAAATTCTGAGATGAGTGTACATACCCATGTGTGGATGTGAGTGGGAGTGTGTGTGTGTGTGTGTGTGTGCGTGTGTGTGTATGAGAGAGAGAGAGAGAGAGAGAGAGAAAGAGAGAAAGAGAGAGACAGAAAGTGAAGTGAGAGAGAAAAAGAGAGGGAGAGAGATTGAGATCCTGTGAAAATCTATTCTATGTTGCATTATTCATTTAGTAAGTTATTATGTTATCATTTTGGGACAAATTTGTTAATCTGAAATTCTAAAGAGCACTTACTATAACCTGTTGCTGTGTTTAATTTTACTTCTCTACCTTCTTCATTTAATTTAGAGATCTTAACATAGGTTATTATCAAAGGAAGCCGAATTTACCAGTACATAGATGTTTTGATAGACTAAATATAGATTAGAAAAATTCTTAAGAATCACAGTAGAAATAAAAGTGAGTGAAAGATTAAAAAATGATCAGAATTTCTAAGAGAATCAGCAAAATTATTTCTTCACTTAGAAACTCTTTAAACTATTTATTAAATAAAATCAAATTTTAGAAAGTTTTTTTGTGGTTGTATATTAAACATGTATGATTTCAGTGGAAAAGCTGATCATAAGTGAATTTATACCCACCTACATGGAACTCTGAAACACAGTGAGAGCTCTGTTGTAATTAGGACTTTGATGTGACCTTATTTTCAGTTATGAAATGTCAAGGTTGAGATCTTTAGGAAGGCCTCATTCTTCCAGACTGGGAGTCTAGCATTCATCTATAACAGACATGAGCAGCTAGGAGGTCTTGGCTTTTATCAAATATAATTTATTGTACTAAATTTAAATTTAAAGACATTGTTCAACCACATCATCATGTTGAATTGACATAAATTCCGTGGGTCAGATAACATCTTTGTGATGATTTAAGAGCTAACTTATTACAAAATATGATATAATTTTAATACATGAACAAAAATATACATACAAAAGAAGCAAACTAATTAGGGTACATTTATAATTGCATCCAGATAATTTTTACCCTTATATCTTCATAAAGAACTTGAGTGTAATATGTTTGTTACTTCCACCAGAACTAAATGTTCTATTGTTATGAAAATATATTTATTTAAAACATTGCTTTTATTTTGAAAAGCTTCTTAATTAATTTGATTAACAAATACGCAAGTTTGGGGGAAACTAGGGAAGATAATTGTTAAAATTTTTGCAATTATAAGCATCTTCTATAGCTACTGTGTTAAGTTTTTTTCTGACTTCTTAACACTATTATGTTCATGTTGCACATTACTGAAAGTAAAGATATGAAACAACACTTTTATGGTTCTCTTTTATTATGAATTCTTTGAAAAGAGAAAAATAATGAAAATGAGTTATTATATTAAAAATATCTCAAAGGGTATGATATTCCCATGAACCAAATGTGAAATTTCTCCTTGGGTTTAAAACTGGGTGTTTAGCGAGGTTCATGAGCTCATTTTAAGGTAGGTTTTCAAGGGTGCTATAATTGCCTGAAAAAATTTCTTTACACTCCATTATATTTAACCTGCACAGTAAAAGGAATAGTGGAATGTAGTATCTAACCTCCTTATGATAAAAAAAAAGAGGTGATAGAGACAAAAACAAAATCCACTTTACATCAGCTAATTAGTTGGTTTCACCGGTGGACCTCTTCACCTCCCTGAATTCCATTCAGAGAAGTACATGCCTTTACTGGTGGTATGGAGAAGTGGGAAGAAAAGACAAAGGGTAAAAACTCTCAAAGAATATTATTAATTTCTTAATTTGAGGCTCAAAGCTAATCCTTAAAAGTGGCTTCCCTAGTTTATTCCAATTGTCCTAGAGCTCCACTTACAGGAGCTTATTACTCAAATGTTCTTGGACTGTTTTTGTTTTTAGTTTAAATAAATTGAGTCTGGGGGAAAAAAGTATTTCTGAGAACATGATATGGGTTCCACCTCATCTAATGCTCCTTCTGGCAATGGGTTGTCTACCAGTCTCTACTCCACTGCATTGGGTCTGATTGCTAGCCAGGGAGTGAAGGGTGGGGGCAGGGTGGAGCTTCAGATTTTGAGAATAGAGAAGTTACAAGGGAAACATATTTCCTGTAATGGTCTTGCCTCTGGATGGAATTATAGAAACAAAGCAAACTTCTTACATTATTACATTCTACCAGTGTCTGTCTTCTTTCCAGACTTGCACTGTAGTAGAAAAATCCTCCTTCCACCTGCTTAGCTTTTGATGATGCTAGGAATGTAATGGTACATATTAATTCAATTTTTGTTTATTAGTTTTTAAATTACCAATGTGATATGAAGCAGAGATGGTAGGTGTTATCACTGACAGAGCCACTGATAAAGTGAATGGAAGATTTGACTTTAGATTCTGGTCTGTCTGATTTTATATGGAAGAGTATTTGTTCAGTGGTTTTGATTTTTTTTTTTTTTAAATTTTTTTTTTTTCAACGTTTATTTATTTTTGGGACAGAGAGAGACAGAGCATGAACGGGGGAGGGGCAGAGAGAGAGGGAGACACAGAATCGGAAACAGGCTCCAGGCTCTGAGCCATCAGCCCAGAGCCTGACGCGGGGCTCGAACTCACGGACCGCGAGATCGTGACCTGGCTGAAGTCGGACGCTTAACCGACTGCGCCACCCAGGCGCCCCAGTGGTTTTGATTTTTTAATTTAGTTCTCAAAATTTTAAACTAAACTATCAACTCTTTCCTTTATAACCACCAATGAAAAGAACTTTATTGTATTCTTTGATAATAAAATACTAATGATCAATATAAAAATGCAACAATACAGATATATAAAAAAATCACCCACTAGTAACATTATGGATTTATATCCATTCAGACACTGTTTAGAGTTTATACATCTAAATGTACTTTCATTTTTAAGAAAATTGAGATCACATTATATAAAGTGTTTTTTGTAACAGTCTTTCCACACAATAAAAACAATACATTATGAATCTCTTTCTATGTCAATGAATATATCTGTACATTGGAGCTCTCAGCCTTTGAATGGAATCTAGTCCACAAATAATGTATTTTATGTGGCTGCTGAATCTTTTTCAAAAAGTTTTAAACAATAGACAACTTTTTTTTTTAACTTTTTTTTTTTTTTTCCAACGTTTATTTATTTTTGGGACAGAGAGAGACAGAGCATGAACGGGGGAGGGGCAGAGAGAGAGGGAGACACAGAATCGGAAACAGGCTCCAGGCTCTGAGCCATCAGCCCAGAGCCTGACGCGGGGCTCAAACTCACAGACCGCGAGATCGTGACCTGGCTGAAGTCGGACGCTTAACCGACTGCGCCACCCAGGCGCCCCTAGACAACTTTTAAAAATCATGAGATTTCACATAAAAATTTAATTTTCTACTTCTAAAAGATTGGGTATTCTGACAACACTAGACGTCCTTCTGCACCTCCCCACATGTTACTTGTCATGAATTAATTGGAGTTGGCCTCTCCAAAAGAGGCATGTGCTGTCCAGTTTGCCAAAGAGCTTCTTCATTCTTTTATGTTACATCTTGCCTCTGTAGATGTCTTAGGTGGTGATTCTTGATCCAGATTAGTATTAGTGTCTTATTATGTGGATTACTATAATATATTAAACAATCCCCTATTGTTAGACTTTTCTCTCCTAATTTCTTGTTATGCAAGCATTGCAGTGATGAAAATCATTTTTTCAAAGTGGTACAATTTTTTTCTTTAAGACAAATTTCTAGAAGTGGAATTTTTGGGTCAAAGGTTATATAGATGATTTTTAGGGATTTTGTGATACATTGCCAAATAGTCTCCAAAAAAACTTGTCCAATTTAAATTCCCACCAGGAGTTTATGAGAGTGCTCAAATCTTGGCTAATACCAAATGTAATTATTGTTATTTATGTCTTTGCCAATCTGCTAGCTTAAAAAATCTTATTTCTCTTTATCCTCTACTCTCTAGTGAGATTGAACACATATTAGTATATTCATTGACTTCAGATAATTTTATATAGATAGTTATAATTTTTCTGATTGCTTTTGAGTGGGATGGTAACTTGTAATCTGTTTATTATTATTTTTTAAAAGGCATTTACTTAGTAAGAATATTAACCCTGTGTTTTTCATATATGTTGCTACTAATGTCTTTTGATATACATATACCTAATTTAATCCAAGCATGATTTTTTTCCTTTATGATTAGTGTTAAGACATCTTTGCCGACCTATGCTTGTGAAAATATTATCCTATATTATCTGCTAGTATCTTTCTTGGTTTACTTTTCACATTTAAACCTATAATCCTCCTAGAATTGCTTTTTGTGTATAGTGTAAGGTAGAGTTCTAATTTCATCTGTTCCCAGAATGGATAATCAGTTGACCCAGCCCATTTACTGTAAATTGTTTTATGTCCATGACTCTGTAATGCCACCCTTGTAAAAATGAAGCACTTATATATGTGTGTGACTCTTTCTGGAATCTCTGTTTGGTTCCATTGGTCTGTGTCTGTCCTGGCAACATTACTGTACTGTCTTAACTGTGATAGTTTTTTTAATGTTTTGATTATCAGAGAGAGTAGGCCTCCCTACTTCTCTACCTCTTCATCATTTTCTCGATTATTTTTGGTTCTTTGCATTTCCATATATCAATTTCTATCAGGTACCTTCTGGAATTTTTATTGGTATTACATGTATATATCATGTATATCAGTCATATATTACACGAATATATCATTTGGGGGAGTTTGGACACTCACATTATTGAGTATTACAGTCCATTCACAGGATGCATTACTCCCTTTATTCAGGTCTT